GGGGGGGGAGCGGAGGGGGCGGGGGCGCCGGAGGGTGGGTTGGTTGGGCGCCGGGTGGGGGTGAAGAAGGTGGGCAAGAGGGGCGGGTGGGTCCGCGCGCAATTTGTTTGTGTTCCGACGGTTGTTTGGAGAGGTGTTAGCAGAATAAGAGTTACTGTTAGTAGAATAAGTCTTAAGGGGTGTTATTAGAGAGAGAGAAACTTTATTAATAACCCTTGGTGAGGAATAAGTAATTCCTCACCCGAGTCAGATCGACCGAGAGATGGTCCAACTTAATAACCGATGTAAAATTACGTTTGCCCATTGTAAAATTACGTCCATTGGAACAGTTGGGAGCTAACCCACTCACCCCGTACATGATGAGCCGGAACCTTTTCCAATCACGGGCTCGGACATACGTTCCTCTTTCCCGACCACTCTCCTTTGGTGATTGCGGAGGCAGCCACAGTGGCGGCACCGGAGGGGCCAACCGGAGGCGAGGGCTACCCCCCTCTACCACGTGCAAAGTACTCCCCTTTACCTTTCTCATGCGCTAATGACCAGGAGGCGCTGCAGGCAGTGCAACGGTCGTACGCGAGCTCGACGGCGACTATGGCCTTCTCAATCTCTCCGGTGTCCCTCTCCACTGTCGGTTTTCTTCTCATTGGTAAGATCTCCCTCCTCTTTCTCCTCCTGCACGAATTTCTGAATTTCTAAGGTTAGGGTTCTTGGTTTTTGGGAGCGAGGCAAAACAAGAGAAAGAAGACAAAGAAAGGTAAAGAAACAGAAGAGAGCATCTTGCATACTAAAGGGGTGATATAGGTTGATGGTGGAGACAGGTGCTGGGCGGTGGGGTCAATTCTTGGACCGCCTGTTGGAGCAGCGTTTTTTACCCCAGACGATCTAAAAGTTAAGTATTTTTACATTTAGACCATCTATTGGAGATGCTGTAATGATCCTCACAAACGATGTAGTACTTCCTTCGTTCCTAAATATATGTCTTTTTAGAGATTTCACTACAAACTACAAATGAATGTATGTAGATATATTTTAAAGTGTAGATTCACTAATTTTGCTCCTTATATAGTTTATAGTGAAATCTCTAGAAAAACTTATATCTAGTAATAACGGAGGGATTACTATTTATATCAAATGAATAAAGTTTCCGGGTTTTTTTAAGACGGCTGAGATTTCGGCCGGTAGACCGGGGCATACCTGGCCAAACGGGCCGGCACGGCCCGACCCATTATAATCGTGCCTGGCCCGGCACGGCCCGCCAAGGCACGATTACTATACGGGCCGTGCCGTGCCGGCCCGCGTGCTGCGCCACTAGGCCCAGGCACGGCCCAGTTAGTAAACGGGCCGGCACGTTGGCCCGTTTAGCACGGTGGGCCGCATATTTTCAGCCTATTATTTGACGCACTGAGCGTTTTTTAACCTATTTTTACATATTGGGCCATATATAGATGTATAAAAAAATAAAAAAAAACTTAATCGGGCCATTCCGTGCCGGCCCACGTGCCTAGCCTCCAGGCCCAGGCACGGTCCAGGGCGTGCCGCGCCGTGCCGGCGTGCTCACGGGCCGGCCTGAAAAAACCGGCCCATTTGGCCAGCTATAGACCGGGGCAGAGTGCTGCTATAAATCCCCCCAATCCCTTGCGCGGCTTCTCGTCCTGTCTCCTGTCGCACAGCTTCCCCTTCAATCCCCTTCCATCGGTCCCAGATCCCCTCCCCTCACAACCCTAAATCCGAGTTAGCCCTCACTTATCTTCCGTTCGACATGGAAAAGTCCCGTCAACTTCGTGGTCCGTCGCCCGCCGACGATTCTTACCGCCACCACCAGCCGTCCGCCGAGAAGTTCGCGTGCTCTCGGATTCCCTGGGTGATGCTGGATCGGTTCGCCCACCGCACCAAGGGGGATGGGGATGGCGTTGTTTCGGATGCGGTAGCTGACGGCACGCTATCAGAGATCTCAGCCACCTGCACCGGTAAACCCATCGCCATCTCCCTTCGGGTCGCTGAACCCCCGGAGGTGTCCCGTCTCTACCTTCACTGGCCAGACGGGTTGAGGCCGGAGATGAGCGACCTGAACAAGCCATTCGTCATCGCAGCGCACGGCGACTCGATACTTTTCCAGACATACGTGCCCCTCGACGGCTGCTACCATCCCACCTGTTACCCCATCGACTATTTCGTCTACACAGCACCCTCCTGTTCCAAGAGTAGTTCGTCGCTCCGGCGACTCCCTACCTGCTTTGACGGCGGCTTGCTGGACCCTGTGATGAATCAGTACAACAAGCCGCACCTGTCCCGTGATCAGCAGGCAATGTGCAGTGCAGACATCGGTCTCCTGTGCCACAGGGATGGTGGGTTCACCGTGGCGAATCTCGCGGTGGCAGATCTCACATGCCTCGGTAGGCTCAGGGTGCTGCACTATACCCCTCTGGAGACGAACATGAAGTGGGACGATAAGGAGCTGCCATTGCCTTGTGACGTCGGCACCCTGAACATCGTGAGTGGTTCCTGGCAAACTGACACTGTCATCCCCTTTGATGATCACTATTTGTGCTGGGTTGATCTCTATCTGGGCTTGCTGTTTGTGGATGTCATTGCCAAACATCCACCGCCCCCACGTTACGCCCGGTTACCTGTAGAACTGGATCAGCATCGTCTGTACATCGACCATGGGGCCCCTGACCCGGCCCGCCATGTGTGTGTTACTGATGCAGGCATTATGAAGCTCATTAGCATCAATGATGACACAGGCCGCAGTGTGCGTGACCAGTCTTGTTCTGCTTTCAATATCACAACTTGGACTTTCGACTTAGGGACAATGCGATGGCATAAGGAGTTCACCATCAAATCCGCCAAGTTCTGGGCCGCTCTTGACACAGATAAGCGTCTTCCATGTCTCCTGCCAAAGTTTCCGACCATTAGTTTGGTTGATCCTAATGTCATTTGCTTCACGTTGGAGGATAGCTACAACAATTTTTGGCTGGTAGAGGTTAACACTAAGAATAAGGTGCTAGGGGCTGTCGCTCTCTATATCAATGTAGAGGAAGAAGAAGTAGAAGAAGGACACGCTGCTAGGATGTTCAGAAGGCATATCTTCTATGGCAACTCCTTTGTCGCCAGCCAGTTCACCCGGTACATGAATAATGATGCCATCAAAAGGTATTTACAGTTCAATGTTTATTGTTACTAGTTTATGTATGCCAACTTGCAATTTGTGTAAAATGTTCCATCTCTCTTAGCACTTCCTAGTATTTGTTCTTCACTTTCTTTTTATGCTTCCATAGATATTGGAACACAACAAAGCAAATGATTACTTAATGGCAAGGCTATATCAAATTCTTTTTAGCCGATCCTGTTTGCTGTGTCCAAACATAGCAGCACCACACCCTTAAACAAATAGCATCTCACAGTTGTCTAAACGGCTAGTCAATTACCACTTGATGGTGATTCAGTTGATAATTTGGCATTATACTTTGTAGATGCTTTCATGATGATCCACTAAATTACATTTATTAAATTCTACGAGGCTTGTGTTGTACACAACTGGTTCGTTGGGAAATAACAATTTCTGAGATGATTGAATACCAAATAAGTCATTTAGGTAGTGTACATGACCCACCAAACGCCAAGTTAGTGAAGGATCTCCATCTATCAGTTAGGTAGTTAATCATTTAAACTTGAAACGTATCCTTTAGCTTCGAGCTCAAATCAATGGGAGATAAGATCCATGATCCGTTACTTAGATTTAAGTGTGAGGCCCCTATATAAGGAGCACCTCGAGTGAGGAATAATGCAAATAAAAAGACTAATTCTTCTATCTTGCCTCGTGATAAAATAATCATTGCTTACACTAATATATTTTTAGGCATGCTAAGCGTTGAAAATGAATAGAAGATAAAGTGCCTTTTGAATCTCGTGTTAACCATGTCGTGTACACGAAAGCAATGTAGATTTTACTCCCATGATAAACAATCCCTAGCTTACACTAATTCATTTTCATGCTTGGTAGGCATTGGAAGTGATTCACAACCAACCAATTTTCGAACCCACACTTTTGTTGACCATGCCATAGGAACAATGACATGGTAGATGCAACAAATTTGTTTAAGTTTGAAGTTAGAAAGTGCTACAGTAATGCTGGTTAGAATATGCGAATCTCAAACAAAAACTTTACAAAACGTAGTATGACTTGTACAATTATTGTTGAGGATAAGTACGTCACTACCCTGGAACGGTAAGGTCGGGTCACCAGGGATCACTAAACATGATTTGACCAAGGTTCAGGCCCCTCAGATCAGATAAGAGCCCTACTCATGATTTGATTGGGTTATGTTGGGATAGTCCGTGGGTACTTACAATTTGGAGACCTAGTGGGTTGGGGTGCAACTCGACAACTTTGGTAGAGGAACTAGGGGAGGTGCGTTACATTGCTAGGGTTCTTGCCTCCTGATTGTGACTTGTGTAGAACTTGGTCCACTTGCGGGCACCTCGATGAGGTTGAAGAGGTGTATCCCCTACACAGAGCCAAGAAGGGTGCTCGGCGATGGCGGCGTGATAGCATCCCTACTAACCTGAGGAACTTGTCTAGAGGCGTCCCATCCCGAATGATGGTGATACGTAGAGTGATGTTGCCACCGTCGACAAGGGTGGGGGCATCGGACCCCGGAACAAGAAGTGTTGCTAGGACCTATGCGACAAAGTGTTAAATCGATGTTGTGTGGATGCAACATCCAGGTTAGGTGTTGGAGTTGGTGGTGGCCCGGATGGACTAGTCCATTGTTTTGGAGGCCAAGCCGACCGGGGTGCGCCCCTTTCCTTGGATGTGGCCTCGTCGAAGACCGGATGATTGATGACTAAACTGCTCACCAAATTTGACGACATCTTCACCAAGCCTTGTTCATTGCTGCCCACACATGCACATGATCACCGGATTTGACTTTGGACTAATCGGTCTCCAGTTGCTATACGTCCCTATGGCTACGCGCAACTCTTCGGTTGCCCCCAACACAGAGGATTTGATGACTAAACTGCTCATCAAATTTCATGACATCTTTACCAAGCCTTCCTCCTTGCCACCTTCGCATGCACATGATCACCGGACTCCACTCTGGATTGAGGGGTATGTGGTCACTGTACGTCCCTATCGCTACCCTGCAACTACAGAAGGATGAGATCGAGCCTCATTGTGAGGAAATGTTGTAGTAGGGCATTCTTAGCAGAAGTGATTCAACCCTTTCCTGGCTAGATCTTGTTCTTCTTGTTCAGAAGCCAGATGGCTCAACTCAAAATGGAAAAAAAAGTCACATGGCTTGTGACGCTCCTATGTCGACTATCGTGCTCTTAGTGAGAAAACAATCAAGGATAAGTTCTCAATCCTAGTGGTGCATGGATTTCTCGACGAGCTTCATGGTGCATGCTTCTTCACCAAGCTTGATTTGCATTCTGGTTATCGCCAAGTGTGTATTTACTAGGATGACATCTCCAAGACAGCCTTCTGCATGCACAGTGCCCACTATGAGTTCTTGGTCATGCCTTTTGCCTGACTAATGCCCGATTACTTTCAAGGCCTTGACGAACAAGATCCGTTGGCCATTCCTCTGCTGTTTTGTTCTCGTCTTCTTTGACGATATCTTGATTTATAGCCTATCATGGCCGGAGCACCTTCACCACCTGTCTTGTGTTTCAAGTTATGTGGCAACATTCTCTCTTTCTCAAAAGGTCCAAGTGCAACACCTTTGGTACCGCATCTGTAGCATGCCTTGGCCATGTGATTTCTCTAGATGGTGTGTCCATAGATGTCAACAAGGTTGGTGATGTGGCAGATGTGCTATTCTGTTTCCTTTGCCGCTACTACCGCAAGTTTATCAAGGAGTTTGGTACCATCACAACCCCACTCACCTAGCTGCTGAAGGAAGGATTTCACTGGTGTGAAGAAGCCGAGGCTGCATTCGGTGCGCTCAAGTGTGCCCACGGTACAACCCCTATCCTTTAGATGCGTGCGTTTGATGATCCGTTCTTCATAGAATGTGTTGCTTCCTGCTCGGCTTCAGCTCCATTCTTCACCAGGGCAACCCATAGCGCCGTGTCATGCCAAACCGGCAGTCTATGAGAGGGAGCTAATTGGCCTAGTCCAAGCAATGTGACATTTGCAACTCTACTCGGGATGTGCATTCACTGTCCACACTTACCTCTAAAGCCTCAAGTTCATCCTAATCAACGGCTTTTGAAAATTCCACAACATCAATGGGCAAGCAAGTTATCAGCTATGTTTTCACGGTGGAGTATCGTATTGGGCGCTTCACACCACCATTGATGCATTGACTTGACGTGACCCGTTGACAGCCTTGTCACAGTTTATGCCATCTCAACACGATAGTTTGCTCTTTTTGATGACTTGCGCAAGGAGACTGCGATGTCTGCCGAGCTAATTTCCTTGCATGACCGAATTGTCTCCGGTGAGCTCGGTGACCCTTGGTCATGTTGCGATGATCTAAACATGCATTGTTGACATGTTTATGTGCTTTTGTCATCGCCATTGGTAGCATCTTTATCGGAACATCCCATCGGGCATTCAACACACTTCATCGCTTGCGGGACACCTTCCACATACGAGGTGACCATGCATTGTTGCTATAATTGGTTCGTACCTGCAAAATTTGTTAACAGAAAAGACAGATACTTCATCATTTTGGTCTGCTTCAGCCCTCGCTGGATATCTTAGTGGATTTTATTTAGGCCCTTCCTTGTGTCCATGGCAAGACAGTGATCCTTCCTGTTGTCAATCACTTCTCCAAATATGCACACTTCATACCATTGGCACATCCGTATCTCCATAGCCCGAGCTTTCTTTGACGACACTGTTCGGCTACATCGGCTTCTACAGTCCTCGTCAATGATAGCGGCCCTATATCTATCGGCAATTTCTGGCGCACCATTTTCCCTGTGTCCGGGGTAAGCTTGCACATGAGCTCAGTGTTTCATCCCCTATTCGATGGTTAGAGAGTTGGCGAACAAGGTGATCTCTATGTACCTTGGTGCATGACAGGAGATTGACCTCCGCAGTGGTTGGGTTGGCTTCCTGTGGTCAAATACTGCTAAAACAGATTATATCAGTCCTCGCTTCATGACACCCCCTTAAAGGTGGTCTAAGGCCACGACCCCCCACCCTCCTACTCTACTTCAAGCCTGACAAGGCAGCATGAAGTACTATGATGACCATCATTGGGGTTCTCCATTGATGTTGGTGAGTGGGCTTGGCTGCGCCTTCACCATAGGCAAGCTGCTTCATTGCCAGGCCATACAATTTGGCGTTAGCTCAGTGACTTTATGGACCTTACAAGATTCTGGAGCACGCTGGTTCTATTGCCCACAAGCTGGATCTCCCTGAAGGCTTTCATCTGCACGATGCCTTCCATGTGATGTGAGTTTTGAAAATATTCCATGGTTTCACTCATATGTGACACCACCATTGCCGTTGGTTGAGGATGGCCGAGTCATTCCAGAACCTGCCAAAGTACTAAGCTATAGCATGCGTAGCTGAGTGAAAGCATGTGCTTGTGGCAGGTTCTTTGGAAATGGATGCCACTTGAGAGCCCCTTGCTGACTGCATGAAGCAGTGTCCAGATTATCAGCTTGAGGACGAGTTGCTTGTGGAGGAAGGGAGATATGTTATGTGGGGAATTTCTTATGGTAGGTACAAGACACCAGGGGAAGGTTAGGCTGCGGCTAGAAAAGGCAGTTTGATGACCTGAAGGATGCATCTGTTTTGTTAGTCTCCACGTTCTGTTTAGGTAGTCTAGTTTGAGTCAGATTCCAATTAACGTCTGAGTATGTCAAAGTTGTACTTGCACGTGTCCTATATAAAGAAGCCTATATAGAGGGCCTAGTCGTGTAAGCTGAAGGCTAGCAATAACCAATAGAGCCTAGCTTCCCTATTCCTTTTTCTCTATCTATAATACCTACTATCCTCTGCTACTGCGCCGGTGCTGCATTGCCGATGACCTGTCTGCTACCAAGCACTTCCAGGCAGCGGGATAGCCCTCAGATCCAGGAGCGGCTGTTCCACAGCGCTAGTTTGTCGTTTATGGACAACTGCAACTTTTCATGTGCTCGTCGTGCCAAGTCGCCAGATGCAAGCCCGTAGATGGGCCTGTAGCACCTATAGAGAAGGTGAGGTTTTGTGTATAGTTGAGTAAACTTTTGAGACATACTTGCCTTTGTTGCGTTTCTCCCGCAAGGCTATGCATCGTGATGTTTATTTGCCCTTGACTTTGTGTTAGGATCGTGTTCGATCGTCTTATGGATCTTGTAAGCTTGTCCCTTGGACTTTTACACAGAGGCAAACTCAAAGCCCCCAAGCACGAATATCCTAAACGATGTATGCAAACAGTAGGTACTTTTAGCTATTGAGGTATCAGCAAAACTATAATATTTTACCCTAATGGTTGAAGGAAGTAACTAGCATATTTATGTACCACAAATTTGTATTGCCAAATTTAGAATAAACAAATCATTAAATGCACAAACCAGTTGAACTTGTAGGGTGTCTAGCTTCTTAACTGGATGGACACTAGCACAATAACTTATTGTGAATAATTATGTTAGATCTCATTGTATTGTGGATATCTGCGTACGTATGTTTTTATGATAACTCAAAGACTTCCTCATTTCAGTTTATATAAGACACGTGTATTTTGAGTAAACTTTGACCATCAATTTGACCAACACAAATCATTATATGCCCCCAAAAGTATATAATCGAGTTCACATTTGGAGAAATTTCCAATGGAATAATCTTTTTACGACATAATCATATTATGTTGGTTAAATCGACAGTCAAAATTGAACTCGAAATAGGCGTGTCTTATAAACTGAAAAGGAGAGAGTATTGTATATTAAAGAAATTGACCTCAAATCATTATTTTGTGGTGATATTCTGAAAGTAGGCACTATTCAATGCAGGTTTAAACAGTGTAATACTTGATCAGGAGAGCATGGGTACCATCTAGGCTGGGTTCATTAGTCTTTGGATAGTCCTATCTATAACTTCAAACATGCTCATTACTCATTGTTTTTGGTTATTCCAAAGAATTTGGTTAGTTTGATATGAGCCATGGCGTTATTTCAGTTTTTTTCTGAACAGATCTATGAAGGCTGTGGAATATTATTTTCCATGTAGTTGTAAGATCTGTTACTGTCTACGGAGTAGCTGTCTTTCTAAAACTGAGAATATGACTCCGAAGGGGCATGAAACTTAAATATGCTATATGACGTGTACAGAGTTCTTAGTTTGTATGTAGTTGAATCAAGGAAGAGAATTGTCTTGAATCGTTGGTTCGCCTTGCGAGATGACATTTGGCACCGCGTCTTTTCTTCTGCACCTCCTCTTCTATCCCTTTTGGACTTCTAAGGTAGTTGGCAGCCATAAGTAGATAACACATAACAGTAGAGCAAATTAGATGCAATGGGTTTGATAGCCACTTGTTTCTGTTTGACCGTGGACCAAGCTATAGTTTTATCAGGACAACTTTTGTTTGGCGGGTTGTGTATATAAATATTGGCAGCTGTGTCTCGTTATGAAATGAGTGATCATGTTTTCAAAAGTTATTCTAATTGTTCTGTGATCTGATTCTGTTTTATTTGATGCAGTCTTGAGATGAGCAAGAAATTACAGGAAACAAAACAGAAGCGAGCCATGAAAAAGATGGATTGAAAACCGTATCCAAAGCACAGGCTAACGGCTTCTATAATCAGCCTATTGTTGCCTAGTTTTGTCTTGTGTGGGTGACGTTGTCCAACTTTACGTTATTAGCCCACTCGTGCGTGAACTCTGAAGAATAAGCTTACATTCCAGACATGTTGCTACCGGGTGAACTTTGAAGAGTAAGCAACTTTACGTTATTAGCCCACTCGTGCGTGAACTCTGAAGAATAAGCTTATATTCCAGACATGTTGCTACCGGGTGAACTTTGAAGAGTAAGCTTTTACATTCCAAACATGTTGCTACTGGACGTGATTATTTGTGCTAGTTGCAAGTTGTTACTACATCAGAACCTTGTGGTTGTGTCTTCAGTTTAGCCCATCAACATGTCCTATCAGCTATGCCCTACCAGTTTTCAAATCCATTTGTAACAACACCTAACGCTGTGTTTGGATGTTTGCATTGGGGCCTGGTATTGGGTATTGGCATTTGTGTTGGCTGAATATCCCGAATACCACCGTTTGGTTGTTCTTGGCATTCAGTTGTGGTGATGTAACACGAACTAGCGAGACACTAACTCGTGCGTGTCGCGGCCCGATCTTTCACGGTACTATAGTCGTCACGGCGTAGCAGAACGATCTGTGATAACTAGAAAAATACCGTACTCAAGTAAATGATTAGGTAAAAAAGGATTTCAGCCCTTGCTATTATCTAACAAGACCAAAAACCAATCTGCGGCAAGATCACTAGTCTCAACGCAGCAGTCTGATAGAGGTGAGGTATCCCGATCTTTCGATGAGATGATAACTATCGATTTGGTGGAGACGACTTTGACGATCCGACTACAAACGTGCACGATGTTGTGTGTTAGCAATCGCTAAACCAACTCCGAGAGGTTATTGACCACGCCGCAGCACAATCAACCTAACCACGAAGGTCTATTCAAACAAGCAAGAATATGATAATGCAATCTGAATATTGCGAATATAGATGAAGTATTGATAAATGTGGGGATCTGTAAGCGGTCTTGGTCTGGTCGTTGGACACAAATAAAGTACATGAAGTTGCAATGGCTAACTTTTAACTAAACAAATCCCAAGGAAAAAGCTACTAGATGGATCTACTTATATAGGAGCAAGGGGTGGCGGCCAAGGAGGTGGGAGGACGTCTCAAGGCAGCCTAAAACCAACCCTAAGTCATACAAGGCTCATGCGCCCAAGTGGAGTTGATGCAACACCTTTGGACTTGTTGTTTGACTCGGATTCTGCTGCAGCGTCAGATTGTTTCGTCCATATCTCAATGCTCCGGACGAATTTAAAGGTGAATCCAATTGGGTTGAAAAGAGGACGAAATCTACTTTCCAACAAAAAAAGAATCACCCAATTCGGAGTCCGGATGAAAAAGTTGTTGGCGTTTTAATTCAGGTATGTCTGTGCAGTCCGAATCTGAATCCAGAACGTAAGAGACTTGAACTCTATCTTCTCTTGGCCCAAAGTGACGCGAGAGGACTTTTTGAACAGAACCTAAACTTCTTCTTTTGCCTTATCTTCATATGTGGATTGTACAAATGTCTCATACACCTGTAATTAGACAAAACACAAAAGTGTGTGAAGTATTTTTGTTCTGGATAACATAAATAGATTATTGAATAATTTGCACTAGAGATCACCTGACAAATATGCATGTATGCAATATTTTTGGTCGTATCCAAGGTAGTCAAGTCCTCATCATCCTCCCCTTCTTGAAAACAAAGCCGTCCTCGGCGTTGCTTAATATGAAATCTAGATAACAAAAGAGACAAGGTGTACACGTTGTATATGTATATGTCATCCATTTCTACTGATCTCATTTGGTGCACATGTGACACAGTTATACAAGAGCACCGTTCAAAAGTCGTGAAATGTAAAGCCAATATATTTTCACAAGAAGTCAAAGGCATGAAAATATTGTAACTCAGTTTGCACATATAAGTGAAGCTCTTATTCATATCAAAAGATTGACAATGTTTATCATTAAACCAAACCAACATTGATGAACCATCACCAAGGTTAGAGGTCATATCAAAATGATTAAACATTGGCACCATTATTTTCAAACATGTTTGATCCAAATTTGATTTATTCCCGGATTCAATTGATTCTTTTGCATCCATAGTTAATTCAATGGGTTCACTCAAAATTGTTTGATCACATGGCAAAGTCAAATCATCAACGTAGTCCTCTAAAGTAGCTGGTGTTATCAAAGTAGTGGTTAGCTCACCGCATGGTGCACTTAAATTGATAAGACATTCATCATACTCATGTGGAGGTGGAAGATTAGTACCTTTATCATTACCTCTTATGATCAACTCAGATGATGTAGGCACTCTCGGTGATGATGTGTCACATGGTGGAGGTGATGTAGTCCTCACAACAACGGATGTGGTTGTCATAGTATGCCTAGTAGTTGAAGGGACAACCGTATCAACTCTTGGAATGTGCATCTCGCGCTTGTTCTCCTTGTGGGCAACACGTCGTTTTATTTCCTGTTCAGCTTTGCAAGCAAGATGAAACAAATGGTCCATAGGATAACACCCTTCATGAATTAGTATCTCCTGAATGTCATGATTTAATCCCCCCCAAAATCTATCCATAAAATCTTCTTCACTTTCTTCTAAAGAGGAATGCAGCAAGGTAGTTTGTAAAGTATCATAATATTTCGTTACGGTGTCACTACCTTGTTTTAAATGTTGCAACTTTGTGATCATGTCACGAGTATAATAAGCGGGAACAAATGTATGTCATATGGCAAGTTTCAAATCATCCCAAGTAGTAGGTATATCATTAGAGTGTAACCGACAATATTCACTCCACCAAACTACAGCATAACCAGTGAAAGAACGAACCGCAACCTTAACTTTTTTACGTACATCAAAATTATTGGAAGCAAATATATTATTTATGTCAAACTCCCATTCAATATATAAAGCAGGTCTAAAACGGCCATTAAATGGTGGTATAGAAACATTAACCTGATCATGTGCATTTGGATGTTTGTGCACCTCTCGTGACGGTTGTGGTATTTGCATAGGTGATGGCACGTCTCCCACGATCGACAAACCCCATGAATTGACTCTAGATCCTGTCATGATTAGTAGAAACAAGAAATAAAATTCAAGAATAATGTTCCTATGAACTACTAGGGTGTGGTGGTAAAGCACTCACAGTAAAGCACATATCAATATCTTACAAGTTCTTACCAAGCAGCAGGTGGTGACAGGCAACCAGCGGTGTCAAGTAACTTTGAAGATTGTGTAAAACGATTGCCAGGGGAACGTACGTATACACGGTGCAGAAATATGTGGAGCTGGGTTGGCTATATATGGTAGCAAAATATTAGCAATAATCAATTCAGAGATGCAATGTTGAATAAACGCTGAACGACCGTACTGTGCCGGTCCTACGCTAGACCGGACTAGAGACGCGAGCCTAGAACACTAATGAGGTCACGACGTAGCACAACTAACATCAATGAAGGATACTAAATAGCTCTAGACAGTAAGATATAAGTGAAGATCACAACGGCAGTAAAGATAGTGATGAAAACAACTGCCAAGCAGGATATACAACAACTCTCTCTCCAAGTTTCCTCTTGAAAAGTTTGAGCCAATTTTCTGATAACTTTTTTCAAAGAATGCTACTAACTCAAGCTTTCCAATGCAAAAAGAATCACTCAATTCCGAATTGATATGAGGAGTCAAAGAATTCTAAAACTAGCCTGAAAAACTGGAATAAGCTGTGTCCGTGAACTTCGGAGGGCAAAAATACCTATTTAGAAGCCGATTTTGAGGTGTCAAATAGTGAACTAGCCTCTGCAACTATTTAGATGCGGCTCGTCGCTAGCTTTCATTTGAGTACTCGTGGAGCCAAAACTAGCGAGACACTAATTCGTGCGTGTCGCGGTCCGATTTTCCACGGTACTGTAGTCGTCACGGCGTAGCAGAACGATCTGTGATAACTAGAAAATACCGTACTCAAAGTAAATGATCAGGTAGAAAAAGATTTCAGCCCTTGCTATTATCTAACAAGAACAAAAATCAATCTGCGGCAAGATCATCAGCCTCAACGCAGCAGCAGTCGTTCCCTTAAAAGGTCGCAGAAACGCAGTACATGGTGTCCCCCGACTGGGAACTTTTCTGGTTTATTTAAATCTTAGAAGAACAAAAACTTTCAACTGGATACACGGCCGAATCCTGTCTGTTATATAGGCGACACCAATCTGACCAAACCGACTAAAGCACCCAAGACAATAGATACACACTCTATCTCCTATTCAAACTAACCAAGGATTTTAACTAATTAATTATCCGACCACCTTAATCACCTAGGAGACTAAGTTAACCACGTAACTAGTACTAGACCAAAGGCTTGACTCACGTATAGTGCACCTATGCCAAACCGAATCAAACTTGACTCGTATATTTCCTACCACAACGTGTGTACGGCACATGGAGTTCTAAATGTTGGCTTAACTTCATCTGGTGCAACAAGCTCAATAGGGATTCTTCCAACACAAATAATCTGCTTCTTGTTCGCATGATCAGATGAGTATGTAGTTATTTTGGAACTCTCAGCTATGACACGGATGCCCACATCATGTGGCATTCGGGCTCGATATTGAGTGACCTGTCTCGAAGAAAAAAAGCTCCTGGCCCAATTCGGAGCCTATGTGCTCAACTTGCTGAGTATTCGGGATAGCGCGTACTTGTTTGCAACCAAAACGACCGTCATCTCTCCAATCCCCGCTTGAGACAGGAGGTCTCGCCCGCCCGCCGGCAGCGACGGCCGATGCCAGGTAGGCCATCATGCTGTCCTCTTATCCAGCGGCCGTCGCCACCTTCCTTCCTTGCCACACTTCCTTTTCCTTTTGTCCCGCCCCGTTCTCATCCTTGCAAGGGTGGCACCTCGCTCGATCGAAGTCTTCTTCCTGGACTGGCCGGAGGTCAACATCCGCCCCTGGGGGCCGGTCATGGA